CTACGCGTCACTCTCACTCCTTATTTGGTAATGTGTGTGTGTGACTGCGCTGGACTTCCGCATAGCCTAGACCGGAAGCAGCAGCCACTCTGGTGGCTACCATTAGCAGCTAACTTTTGCTCTGGGATTTTTACATAAAAATTGAATTATGGATTATAAATGAAATAATTTTTTTATACAGAGACGTTAAAAACCTATGGATTAACCGATTCAGCAGCATTTTTCTCGTTTTAATGCCATTGAACACGTCTTTTGATCAGATTGACAGCTACGGTGAGACATCTCCCCTAGAAGCTACGTAAAGGTACGTGTTGTGATGTCTGTGTTTGCTTCCCCTGTCCGAGTTCGGATCACTCAGTGATGATACTATATACCTAAATAATCTGTGGAACCTCAGCTTTAATCGGATATCTTGTAAATGCAGCTACGATAAGTAATAAGGGTATCTTTTATCTTGAGTTCTGTGCCAAAGTCCGTTAGCATTTTTCGCTCAGGGGTCATTTAGATGCTTCTTATATGAGACTTGTGTTTTGTTTTGGTAAAAATGGTTTGTATCGTCAGTTAGCTGAGATTATTTCCGTTAATCTGGTATAACACATTAATAGGTTCTTAAATATTAAGATCCCCTGAGACACAGTGTCGTGAAAAAAAAAAAAGTAAAGTACCCGCCGGGACTTTGGGGCTTAACAGGTTAAACAACCGCAATATATACCGCAGAGGGGGAACAAATCGCGATGTCAGTTTTTTTCAATATCGTGCAGCCCTAATACCCACCAGTGCAGGAAAGGTAAACACTTTTTAGGTCTAATCTAATTAAACTAATCGGGTCATTTACAAAAATGTGGATGCACTTTAACACACTGGTTCAGACAACCTGGCTTGTAAGAAGTTTTAAAGGTCCCATGTCATGGTCATTTATACTGATCATAATTCCATTGTTGAGGTCTACTAGAATATATTTATATTGTGCAATGTTCCAAACTCACATTGATTTCTCATACAGCATCTCTTGTGGCTTTCACACCAGCGCTTTTACCTTTCTAGCTCCGAGCTAGAGCTTTTCTGGTTCAGCTCCGGTTTCCCTTTTCTGCTCCCGCTCTGTTCACACCGCCCAGCACCCGACTGGTGCTGCCGCTGCTGCGTCATGACGTCACCGTTTACATCGCTAATTTGCTCCCCAACGGCATTACGGCGCTCACAACAACAACAACAACAACAACAACAACGGGGAACTGCGTCGGGTCGATGATCGTGTTGCTTTTAATCACACGAAGCCAGAATAAATTGAATAACGACTTCTCCAACCTTATGCTTTTCTCCAGAGTGCCGTGGTTCATTGTTTATTAATGTGTTTCTGCAGCATTTACCGACCGCTGCAGTGTTGGCTGCTCTTCCACGGGAGTTTATTCTCCTCCGTTAGCTCCCGGTTAGCTCACACTGCAGCGGCCGCTCTAAAGTATTCACTGTCCGACTCACACAAGCAGCTGATACACAGGGGCGGCGCTAGGGGGTGCTGAAGCACCCCCCAGGATTGCCAAAGCACCCTCAAGAATTTTTTTTTTTTTCCGAAAATTATTATTATTATTTTTATTAAATTAGAAAAATTATTGATTACATCAATGCATGTGAAACAAACAAATGTTTGACCAAAAACATAAAGCCAACACAGGTGATATGATTAGGCCAATGGCCAGCACCCATTCGATTACTTTGTGACACTTGAGTGACTTCCTGTTAGCTAGAGCGCCAAATGATTTGCTAACAGCAAAGTGAAAAAATGTATCGTTTTTTAGTCCTTAAACGTCCACGTGTGGACACTTAATCAAAACCACCTGAAAGCGAGAGGGATTCTGCACATAATAGGCCTCGTGAGTACAAGTAGCTTACTTCTGGGTCTCTGTGTTTCATTCAAGCTCTGCTCTGTGTGTGTGGCGGTGGCCCGAGCCATTTTGTGTGTGTGCGCGAGCGAGAGAGAGAAGCTCGCGCACCGGTGGGTATCTACTGGAGATCGTTGTGGTTAGCATCTGGTGCTAGCTAGCCAAGCTAACGGGTATAAGGAGCTTTTTCAACAACAAGGTGGAGGGAGAAGTTCTCTCTCCTGTCAGACGGAGAGTCTCAGGTAACCTCAGCTCAGGTGAAGTAAAGGACTCTCAGTGTTTAGATAGTTAACTTTAGTCTAGTTATCTCAGTGGGTCTCAAACGGTTTGTTTTAAAAAGGGGAGTGATTTGTAAAATGTCTATGAAGAAATAGAAAATATGTTTACAGTTCTGTTTCATATGGGTGATGAGAGATGTATCCATATATCTCTTAATGTTGCTCTCAAAGTGCACCAGATTGATGCTTTTAACTTCAATATTTAAAAAAAATCTTCCCGGGGAAACATGCCCCCGGACCCCACGAGAGGAGGTGAGGACCCTCCTAGAGTACCTGAGGTCCACTCCCCACTTGTAAAAATAGCACTTTACCCCTGCTTACACCTATATGCCGTGAGCTGATTATCGAGCCTTCATTGTTACAGTCGCGGGTGCACTGTGTGTGGGGAGTGTTGCAGTAGAAAAGTAAACTGTAGCGCTGGTGCATTAATGGGAAACCCTTAATGTTTGAGCACCCTCTATGAAACGTCAAGCTACCCCACAGCACCCCCTAGAGAAAATCTCTGGCGCCGCCACTGCTGATACATATCCCCAGTTCCCCTTAGCCTAAGTGAATGTGTGTCAGTCTGAATTGACGCTGTTTGGCATCACAACGCTGTTATGAAAGTTTCTCTGGTATAAAATGGGTGATGTTAGCATAGCAACCGAAGCTAAACTGACTACTTGCTATTGCTATCCTATTGTGGCATAAACCGTTTTCTACAGGCACATTTTACCGGCGTATTTTTATTATGATTCTACTTGTGATAGTCGGACACGACAACCTGTGCAGCCCATGTATTGATTCCATCCGATAGCTGCTATAATACAAAACAACACGTCTGCCTCTCTCCACAATGATCAATAACAGTGAACGGATGGTCAAAGTAAGGTACAAATAAACAGAATCACACGAAGCCTGGTTAGTGTTGCCTGACTTTATAAAGTGTGTTTATAAGCACTACTGCTTGTAGGCAGGCATGACAGTCGACCCATGTTCAGGGGAGATGGGTTTAGTTTCCTGCACGCCTCGACGTAAGAGAGACGTAAGCGACGCCACCTCTTAGCTCCGAAGCTCTTGCCTCTAGACCGACCCTTTTTTGGAGCTGGAAGTGAACCGGATTCCGGAGCTAAGAGCCGGCGCCGCTGCGGTGTGAACAGGAAAAACCGGCGCTTTTCAGGCTCCAGCTCCGAGCCGGAGCTGAAAAAGCGCTGGTGTGAAAGGGGCATCTGTGTAGCATGTGTATTCACTCTCTGTCCTAAACGGCTTGTTGGAGCTCCTGACCCCCCTATGAGCCCAGTGGCCGTCTGCGAGACACAGCTAAACCCAGCCCGAAACACACACACCCGCAGCCTGGCTGGGAGTTTGAGTGTGTGCCCAGGCTGAGTTCCGCGGTGTCTCGCCGACCCCACACCAGTGAGCCAGCTCACGCTGTCCGCTCCTCGCAACGTCCCGCCGAGTGTGTGTGAGGAAGTCCGCGGATTGGTCCAAACGTAGCGGCTCCGCAGATTGGACCCGAAATACGTCACTATACCCAAGAAGCAAACAATGGAAAAATATAAATGTCCATCGAGGCGTTCTGGGGCAGCATACAGGTATTTTCTGTGTTACAGTTTTACTCCCTACAGGGTGTACTTTGAGGGTTTGTGACTGCAGACCGTTTACATGCAGAAAAACCTTCATCACACACAAGGGGACGCGTAATGACCGGAAAAGCATGACATGGAACCTTTAAAATAAGTTATACATTAGTTTCTTGGAGATTACTCTTGGGGATTTTTGTAAAAATATACTCATATATCGCACTCTACTGTTGCCTCACTTTGCATGTGCAGACGACTAGCTTAGCTCAAGTAAATCAATGCAAAATGTAAAAGACCTCAAAGAGCATTCGGCAGACATATTGTTTATTAAACTAATACAATTGCTAATTTAACATTAGTTGTAGGACATTAGATGTAGGACGCCTTACTTTAAAAACGTTATTTATACTGGCCTGCTTGGGATGTTTGTAGTAATGGCATTTACATAGTTAATTTGTATACATACCGACCAGTGCAGGAAATGTAAAATACTAAACTAATCGGGTCATTTACAAAGATGTGGATGCACTGCAACGCACTGATTCAGACAACCTGGCTCGTACAAAGTTTTAAAGAAGTTACATTAGATGACACCTGGGGATTGTTGTAAACACATACAAATATACACATATATTGCAGATTCAACACAATCAGAATTAGAAAGAGATGTATTGCCAAGTACACGCACGAGGAATTTTGATACAGCTTCCTCTCGATTCCTAGAGAAGAAGGCACTTCTACTCCTGGCTTATATCAAAGTTTAATACATATTTTAACACTAACTCTGTTTTTCCCCTTTAGTGCTTCTTGATATTGCAGATGCCTCAGTGACCCATGTGACCGCCACCTCAGTGAATTTTAACACTTTGTTTTTGACTTCCTCCATCTTGTTTCTATCTTTATTGAAATACATGCCAACATGAACTAATGAAATGATACAGATCTATAAACCTCCTCCCCCCCAAAATGCTTCTTAAAATAGCAGACATTATTGATCCATGTCATTTTACCACTTCCAATAGTGTACATTATAATCCAAACCTCGTTTAGATATGCAGCCTATATATATATATTTAAATAATTAAAAAACGTTTGCAAAATAATAAGATAATAATTTAAAAACCTATTTTTGTCCTCGAGTTATTCTTGAAATAGTGGATCTCATAGACACTTTTTTTTTTTTTGTAATGAAATTATGTTATATAAAGCTGTGTCAATTACAGTAATCAAGTTCTCGCGAGATCTCCGATTGGTTTGCTGTCAAAACAACTTATGTGCGTCACGTGATCTGTGACGTAGTGCCTCCGCTGCTGCAGGGGGGGGTTTCCATCATGGCGTCGATGCAGGTAAGAACACAAACGACATCGACCTGGATATTCATAATTTAACTGACCTTCAGTGGGGTTTATTCAGACAGTTTACTACCATTTTAACTTAGGTACAAATATATAATCGAGGTGGTGTTGACATTAAAGTAAAAGCGAGGAATTTAATGCTAAATGGTTAGCTCTGCTGCTAGCATTACAACCTAGCACCATCATCAACAGATGCCAGCTTCTTGTTTTATTGAAATCATGACTGGCGGTGTTTTAAAGACAGCAACACATCGGTATTAACTCAAGGAAGGAGATGTTATGAGTTAATATACAAAGCTAATGTTTGACATGAGTGCTAGCTGCTGTTTTGGCTGGCGTTGACGTAAGCTAGCTAACGAACCAGTGCGCAGCAGATTGAGCAGCTTATCAAATAATAACAAGCATTAACAGATTTTTCATCATTAAGATATCAAATAATTACAAACATGAGGTTTTAAATCACCTGTTTGAGGATTGGTCTCTTATTGAAATGAAGGCAGTATTTTCTACACGTTATAATTGTTTTTATTTGTGAAGATTGAGCAGTTTCCTCTCCAGCTGAGCATGTGGAGATTTACCATTTATAATTACAATTACACAATTATAACTTTGTTATTTAATCTACTGATGAACTAGGCTATTTCTAATCATTTTATTTGGCTTAAAATAGCTCTTTTTGTCAGGGTGGAGTTATTGTTTTAACTACATTTACAGTATTTACAGCAATAAGATGTAAAATAATGTAATAGTTAATGTCTTATTAAAATGTAGGAACAAATAAGGATTTTTTCTACATGCTATAATTGTTTTAATTTAATTTCCTCCTACAGAAAAGGCTGCAAAAGGAATTATTAGCCATGCAAAATGATCCACCCCCAGGAATGACACTCAACGAAAAAAGTGTACAAAACACCATCACACAGTAAGTACTCTTGTGCTTTATTCAGCTTCTAAGCTCTTACATTACTAACAGTGGTTATCTGTTGATACCAGAGGGTACAAGGACATGTTGTGGAGCTGATCTGAATAGCAATTGATTTCATTGAGACTGTGACGAGCGAACAGTGAGTGAAATATAATGATCTACCGGATCAAATGCGTGACTAATGTAGAGTAATGATAAATAGTTTAAATAGCTAAACGTCTGTCCTAGTAGTAGATCATGCAGACTAAACCAACAACATACAGAGTGATTTTTAAATAATGCAAATAGCAGAAACAGGTGTGATAAGAACACAAAAGGAAGATTGCCCCTTCTCCTTTTAGGTCATGAAGGATGGATATATTCTTCATTGTTGTCTGCTAAAAGCCTGACACAAATACAGGCTGCCATGTCTTTTTTATCGTGCTTTAACAAAGTCGACGCCTTGGGGAGGGAATTTCATAGTTTTGGTGAGAAACAATAAAAGGCCTGTGCTGCTAATTGTATTATCCATGTGATATTTTGTATTCAAAAAGGTCAGCTCCATGTCTTATTCTTGCATTTCTAATTATTGTGTAGTCCATCAATGGATTGCTTTTGGAAGACCTATGATTACTGTCGTTTTTTCCGCTTGAAATAAACGCATGAAATGTGCATTAAAAGTACTTAATGCTGTAGGAAGTATGGCGATGAAATGCTGTTGTATTATAGCTGCATGTATGGAGGAGTCGGGGTCAACTAGTGAGTGGCAGCCCTTCAGTGGAGAGTCTCTAATGCACAGCGTCACTATTCATCCTTATCAAATATTTAACGGTTGATTTGGCATGCAGCAGTGTGTCGAGAGCAGCACGGAGCAGAGGCTGCTAGCTGACCGCTCTGACTCAGTTTCTTCCCTTATTGTGTTAACCGAGTCTTTACCTGTAAAGGGATTTACGACAGATATTCTGGCCGTCATTCAAATGTCTTTTAGCTGCAGGCTCACACGCGAAGTTCAGAGTGACTACCTGCAATCAGAGGTATTTCAATGGGGATTTAACCAATGGCCCACTCATCAAATAACTGCAATATCGTCACATTTGCACAATTACAAACTGTGAGTCTGCTGTATCGTTCTTGGAAGAAATGCTAAAAGAATTGACCGTATGCAAACGGTACATTGAAGCATTTACCTGGCTTTTTCTCTGAACTAGTCACAGGAAAGGAAATATCAGTGAGCTAGACATTTGATTTCTGCACCCTGATGGCCTCGCTTCTTTATAAATACACATGCAGTTCGTTTGGCTTCCCCTATACTTCTTTGACCTACAGAATTGCACCATATCTGCTGGTTTTATCAGTCCCAAAATCCACCTCTGTGCCCGTCACCGTCTGCTTTTAAGGTCAAAGCCAAACCCTCTCATATGTACCCAATCGCTGCTGTTGAACATGTTAAAGAGTTCAAGCTTCCCTTATCCACGTGTCCTCATGGAGAAATACTGCAGGGACGTTTCCCCCAAAACCTCATCCCTAATCCTCAGTTCTTCTGACGTGAACCCGAGCCGCTTTTTGGCAGAGAGGAAGCGTTTAATCACAAACCTCTGCTTTGGCCAGACGGGCAGGATTATATAAAGATGGAGAGATACTTTGTGGGACATCATGTACTGTCTCTTGACAAAGACATAATACTTCTATTTCAGTCTGGATTTGAAGTTAGCAGTTTCTAAATCCTTCTTTTTATTTGTTTCCATTCTCTCTGACTTCAAGGTCCTTCTTGTTTTACTCCAAGGAAGAGTACGAGTTCACATCAAGCACTATGTCTGGGAAAAGCGCTTTATAAATACATCAGCTTGACGTCACACTCATTTATTGTTTTGTGTGGTTGTAAAAGCGACATATCTACGAACAGGTTTCCCTAGCTTCCTCGTTGTTTGCCCTGAACACGTCAGGGTGTGTCCTCGTCTGTTGAAATGTCTGTTTGTTTTGTGTGTCATGGTTACTGACAGTCGTAGGGATTTACCCTTTTCAATCAAGCGAGTCCCGGTGGAGTAAAGTATCTCTTCCTGCGTGACATTCAAGTGAACCTAAAAACAAACTCTAAGGACAGTGACCTTATGTTGTTAGTTTGATAGCTTTTGTTTAGGGTACGCTTTGTCTCGTTGCGCTGCTCGTTAGATTAGGAAGAGTCATTTTCTCACTCCATTTTCACCGTGTTGTTTTTGTCGGCTGGATCCTATAATCGCTACGGATGGGGAATTTGGGAAAGTTGAGCGTCATGTCCTTGGGTGTACTTTCCTCTGCTCACACTGTTGCCATGAGGTGTGTTTCAGCATCTTGATACACTGATACGGATGCAGTTATAAACATGGCTGGCCTGAATGACCTGATGTGCTCGAGGCTACGTTAGGAAGAGGCTCTGAACCCGAAGTCTCTGTTGTGACCCTCAGAGAAATGAGGGCAGAGATTGTGACGCTGCCATCACAGTTTCCCTGTCTCTTCCAGCACATAATAACCATATTTATTCTGCGCTGAATATCTGTCTTTCTTTGCGAGTGAAACCTCTGGGTTTTATATGAAGCAGGACCAGAGAAACTGGATCCTCGCTGCACACAGAGGCCAAAATGGATTTAGTTTAGATCGATAGAGTATCATGTTGGTACCAGAGGTCGCGTTAACCGAATATTTTCTGTCTATGACGGATTTTTTTTTAACAATGACGGACAAATCTGAAAGCAGTCCGTCATTTTGACAGATTAGAACAAACTCAGAACACAGCGCCAAAGTGTCCCCGCAGCGAGGCTCCGGTGTTATGCCGTGTTATGCATGCCCTCCAAAAAGGAAATTATACCGTTTCCAAACCTAACTGTCGCACAAATCATTGACATGTCTGTGAGTTTTGGCTTTACGCTAGGGCTGCACGGTATTGACAAAAACTGACATCGCGGTTTCCCCCCCCCTGCGGTATATATTACAGTTTTTTTTAACCTGTTAAGCCCCAAAGTCCCGGCGGGTACTTTACTTTTTTTTTTTACGACAGTGTCTCAGGGGATCGTAATATTTAAGAACCTATTAATGTGTTATACCAGATTAACGGAAATAATCTCAGCTAGCTGACGATACAAACCATTTTATACCAAACAAAACACAAGTCTCATAAGAAGCATCTCAATGACCCCTGAGCGAAAATGCTAACGCACTTTGGCACAGAACTCAAGATAAAAGTACCCTTATTACTTATCGTAGCTGCACTTACAAGATATCCGATTAAAGCTGAGGTTCCACAGATTATTTAGGTATATAGTATCATCACTGAGTGATCCGGACTCGACCAGGGGAAGCAAACACAGACATCACAACACGTACCTTTACGTCGCTTCGAGGGGAGATGTCTCACCGTAGCTGTCAATCTGATCAAAAGACGTGTTCAATGGCATTACAACGAGAAAGAAAAAATGCGGCTGAATCGGTTAATCCATAGGTTTTTAACGTCTGTATAAAAAAATTATTTAATTTATAATCCATAATTCCATTTTTATGTAAAAATCGCAGAGCAAAAGTTAGCTGCTAATGGTAGCTACCATAGTGGCTGCTGCTTCCGGTCTTGGCGATGCGGAAGTCTCTCACACACACATTACCAAATAAGGACTGTGTGATTTCCCCTCGATGCCATTGGCTGACGGTCAGCAAGGGGGGCCAGAGATATGGAAAATCCACCCAAATGGCCCCAGAAGAGTTTTTTTGTGCTAAATCTGTTTAAAAAGGTCAAATATCAGGGGAAGTTCTACACACACCAACACATGAACAAATAAGGAGTGAGAGTGACGACGCGTAGCCAAAACCGGAAGCTGCATACACTCTGGTGGCTACCATTAGCAGCTAACTTTTGTGATCCGATTTTTACATAAAAATGGAATTATGGATTATAAACAATTGCTTCAAAGCCACAGATACATTATCAACCTATGGATCAACCGACCCGTGTTTTTTCTTTCTCGTTTTAATGCCATTGAACACGTCTTTTGATCAGATTGACAGCTACGGCGAGACGATGTCCCGTAAAAGCTCCGTAAAAGGTACGTGTTGTGATGTCTGTGTTTTCTTTACCTGTTGCGAGATCGGATCGCTTAGATACTATACTTAAATAATCTGTGGAGTCTCAGCTTTAATCGGATATATTGTATGTGCAGTTTCGACCTTTCGAAAGGGTATCTTTATTTTGAATTATGTGCTAAAGTGCGTTAGCATTTAAAAAAAAAAAAAGAATAAAACCGCACGTCCCTGCGGTGTGAATACCGCGGTTATCGCCATGACACGGTATATCGTTCAGCCCTACTTTACGCTGTGCACGCTCCCGCGAGGTGCAGCAGCCATGCATAACACGGCGCATGTGAACTGTCCCTCCCCCCCCCCCCCCGTTGACAGTTCACGAGCATGCTTCCCCCCCCCCTCGTCAGAGTTGTGTAAAGGCCGACGGGTAATTCTGGATTTTGACGGAAGTTTTACGATCCTGTCCGTCAAAGTGACGGACAGCGAAACAGTCTAGCGCAACCTCTGGTTGGTACTGAAGCGCCGCCATAACCCCGCTGAAGATTGAATGTCAGGGAATGAGTCAGGATAAAACGCCTTGATTTACAGCAGCATGGGCACTGTGCTATTTAGACATATGTATGGCTATGTTACTGGCATCCTTTGGTTACTATAACCCTGTATGAACACAGTTAGAAGTACACTACATGTTTACAGCTTTATACATATGACTACAAAATGAAACAAGCATTTTGAACCTGACTTTATCCGATGTTCAGGTTTGTGTTCCTGCAAATCTGCGCATATTTAATTATATAATGGATACTTTGCATATTTAAACATGCTATTTCAGAAAACTTGTAATACAAAAAAGAATTGTCTTAATGTAAGTCATTAACTGGAGAAATGTCTTGCTGATATCTTTAAGTTAAATCACTCTATTCAGCTGTAGTGTCTCGCCTTAACGTTTTTAGTGTATGTCTAAAAATGCACATTGACTTGTATCTCGTTGCACCGTCATCGCTACGACCTCTGCTTCCACCACTCTTACTTATTTATTTATGTCTATGTTTTACTGCAGTGAGAGATGCCAAATACATTTCGTTGTACTTTGTATGATGACAATAAAGATCTATTCGTCTGATAATCTACTCCAGAGGGATGAAATATAACATAAACATGAGTGACTTGGCACAAGCCGGTCTAAGAGCTTTGAACTCAGTGACGGATATATATTTGTAATTGTTGTGATGTCTTAGTTTAACACGCTTTTCTTGTGTGTCTTTCCTCCAGGTGGATCGTAGACATGGAGGGAGCGTCTGGCACACTCTATGAAGGAGAGAGATTTCAGCTGCTTTTCAAATTTAGCGGTCGATATCCTTTTGATTCACCTCAGGTACGTTTCTCTGCAGGTGTGTGTGGGTGTTTCTCAATGTCGAGGAAGGATGCTCCAGAGCCACTATTTCAAGCATACTACGTCATCGAGTGCCGCCGAAGGACTGTTCCAACGTCCAGCATGCTTGCAATTCTACCGAGCCCGGCGTACTTCGTTTGGAGAAATTTCGAGGCTGCACATGAGTAGACTCCGCGGTCTTAAAATCCCCACAATGCTTTGCACACGGACCAATTTCCCCAAATCTGTGGCGGAAAATGTAAGGCGGGGTCTCTCATGTGACGCACACCTGCTCGCCTGTTCCACTCTTCGTTATCCGAATGCCAAGAAGGATTCTTGCCTCGCTTCTGAAGCAAGTGACTCGGAAGACATGTGCTACCAAGCAAGCGTCCTCGACATTGAGAAACACCCTGTGTGTCGGAGAGTGTGTGTGGCGCTCTTTGTCTCTGCTTCATACATGACGCACAAGCTGCTTCCCTGGGTGTGGACACCGAGGTCATAAAGTTTATTTTTGATATGGCTACGGATCAAGAACAAAATGGTTGGAGAACTGTGAAAGTAGTTTGACATCTTTTGAAAGAGTCCTTCAAACCGTAGACAGAAGATCTTGAACGACATTTGATCCACTAAAACATTGAAATCATGTCTGTGATTTATTTGAGTAGATCCAGCTCCATCTCCTCGTGCACAGTCTGTTCAGTTTCTGTGGTTCAACTCAGCGAGAGCTGAAGCCGTCTGCTTTTTGTCTGAAGCTAAATATTACAGCTTGAAAAATGAAATGTTTTTCCGTTCGTTTTTATCCTTTTTTAATTAGTTTTTTAACCGGACTTTATCATTTCAGTATAGATTGAACCTAAAAGTCATGTTTTTCACTGGTTATTTTAGTTTTAAATTACAATTAGAACCACATATTACAAACAGACCTGATCTGGTTCCTTACAGTTCTACTCAGTGGCGGCGCCAGAGTATTTGTGTTGGGTAATCTATGGTAGGGCTAACCCACACAGTGGTGGGGCTCAAGTCAGTATTTGTAATGTAATTACATACACGCTATATCGCCCTCCTTGACAGTGAAACGCCACGCGTGAGGCTTTTATTAGTCTCCTTTTATCAGCTAAATTACATCGAGAGCAACAGGTGTGAGTTAAACAATACAATAGCCTATTCTGCTAATTCCACGATGTTACAACATGCTACGCAGCGGCAGAAACAAGAAAAGTTGGCATATAGAATTGACACAGAGAGAGAGAGAGACAGACCCATTATTACAAAATATATTCAAAACTCACTCTTCACTCTTCAGGTGGGTCGTGTGACTCTGGCACCTGTTCGACTTGTACCTCAATGCGAGGGCGTTTAAGAACAAATCTATCCATCCGAAATATACAATTAATCCTCGAAGTTCTGCTGTCTGCTGCAATTTACTCTGCGCGAGTTTGGGGACTTTTCACTGTGAACGTGACGAGTCGACGAATCAGTAATGCATGACGCAGCAGACCCAACGTGTCGTTGCTCTGATTGGCTGTAGGTCTGTTCAAATTGCATTCGGAGGCATTTTGATCTGACCGCGGCCGCGCTGATATTATAACGCCAGAGCATTTCCACACCTTTAGTGAATAAAACTCCCCCACTACTTAGACTATTCCTTGCACCCCTCTGGCATAAGCCCGAATGGTCTCAACCATATTGCGTCAGTAACGTGCACTTGTTGTTACAGCAGGATCAGTTTGTGCGTTGAGCACACGACCAGTAGATTTTCGCAATCCGTGTTCTCAACATGCTTACTTTAACATACTTTTTCATGGGGGGGCTAAGGTAGGGCTAAGGTAGGGCTAAGGTAGGGCTAAGGTAGGGCTAAGGTAGGGCTAAGGTAGGGCTAAGCCATTTCTGGGTATGGCTGTAGCCTACCCCAGCCATACCCTGGCGCCGCCACTGGTTCTAGTTATGATGGGGTTTTTGTGCAATATCCATTTTCTATCTTCATTTGTTTAAAGAATGAAGGTCTCATTTACAAAAGACGACACGGATACTTTTTTCTGTTGTCGCACACACACACACACACACACACACACACACACACACACACACACACACACACACAGTTGAAGGGATTAGTTTATCTCCACAATCTTGTTTCACTCATCATGATCCTGGCAGCCTAAAAATAGCGGATGAGTAGGTGCAGAGAAATGAGATAAACTTAGCTGCTTAGCTCCTATCCTCTCAAGAGGAAGGACAAGCTGTCAGAGGCCCCTCCATCGAGGCCCAGGGGCCCCACAGGGAGCTGCAGTGCATTGTGGGATGTGGGAGTTAAACAACACAACGACTGATCAGCTGACTGGAGTCGATCACTTTTGTGTTCACAGCTTCTGTGTCACTTCCTTTAGAGGTCACTGAGCTTGAGTTTATGTCTTTATTTTGTGTCATTAATGAAAATATCAACCAATGGCTCCCAAGCCGCGTTTATGACGACAGAAATGACCCAAATTCGTACCTTAGACTACGTGACTAGCTGGGACAAAGTTATCTGGAAGATCTTTAATATCATGGATGAATATTTGGCCGATTTGAACCCTGGAGATGAGGACCAACACTCTTATATTTCAGAATGAGACTTTTCCTTAAGCCAGGCTTGCTTAGACAAATGAAAGATTAAATACACCTTTACGAACCTTTCTATAAGGACACTTGTAATAGCAATCTGGGCCTGTAAGTGGCAAAAACATACAGAAAATAAATGAAATGTACCACAGTTACCCTTTAAAGTCATCATGGTTGAATTCAAATGTACCTCAGACCAAGTGACTAGCTGTGACGAATACTTCTTTACTTCGGGATACGTTATCTTGAAGATTTGAACCCTGGAGATGAAGACAAACACTGGTGATATTGCAGAATGACACTTTTCCTTAAGCCAGGCTTGCTTAGACAAATTACAGATTAAATGCACCATGTTTTTCTCTGTAAGGACCTTTCCAATAACGACACTTCTGTGCCTTTTTTAAGTGGCAAAAACATACAGAAAATATACCACAATTATCGTTTAAAGTCCTCCATCTTGTGGCATCCAAACCCCCCACCTGTTAGAGACTCATCATCCCGCTGTGCACTCTGAATATTCCTAATAACCGCTGTTCTTTGTTTCAGGTAATGTTCACAGGAGAGAATGTACCGGTCCACCCTCACGTGTATAGCAACGGTCACATCTGTCTATCTATTCTCACGGAGGATTGGTCGCCTGCTCTCTCAGTGCAATCAGTCTGTCTTAGCATTATCAGCATGTTGTCCAGCTGCAAAGAAAAGGTAAACACACCCGTGATAATGCAGAATATAGCAAGAGGTGCATGCTAATGATATGCTGAACGATGTCCTGTTTTCTTGCAGAGACGACCGCCCGATAACTCCTTTTATGTAAGAACGTGTAACAAAAATCCAAAGAAGACAAAATGGTGGTATCACGGTGAGTGTGTTACACCTCGCACACGTTCACACATTGCTCGTTAAGGATGATTTAATTAACGTATGTTCCGTTTCCCTCCACAGACGATACATGCTAATGTACAAACTTTGTAATAATCGTAGAAGGAAGAAGTCCGACTGACCTACGTTAAGCACTTTTGAAATCATTCAGTCTTTGAACTCTGACCTTTGACTGGAACAATGGACACCATGCGCTGGCGGCTCTTTGTCTGCATTACCCCCCCCCCCCCCCCCCCCCCCCCCCCCCCCCCATGGGATGCATGTTTTAGCCGGTTGTAAAATAGCGGGCGATGATAATGGAACGTTTTAGATGCACCCAAGATGGATGGTTATTTGGCAGGAAGCTGGTAAAGCAGACGAGTCGTAGCGAGATCATTATAATTCCTGTTTTTTTTTTATCGTGACTTTGTGTGTGGTTGCTTTTCTTTCCCTTTTAAAGTTCCTTGTTTTGTGCAATAATAATAATAATAACCGATGGATGCATGCTGGGGGTCTGCAAAGAGAAATCCAAATCGTCTTTTTCCGGAATGGATCGGGCCGTCACGGAAACCCAAGACGACGCTTCATCCGTTTGATTTGAAATGATACGCTTCGAGGCACCTCTGGTCGTCCTCTTCTCACAGTTACCGAGGGACACTTAGTTATCAGGTTTAAAAGGGGGTGTAGTTTGTAACCACTGTATCGAGTAAACACCATTTTCTTCATCTTCCAACCTGAGATGTGGTCGCAGCTCTCGGACAAACGTCGGTACGGATGCGAGTTAAACAAATAACATAATAGCGGACGAACATCTTGTAGAGTCGTCCAGATTTCAAGGTTTGCAGCGGCCTCTCTTCCATTTAACGAATGTCTGATCCACTTTTTATTTGTATGATACGGTTGTTTTATTTCATGCTTTAATCTTTTTTTTAATGTTGAGTTATTTTAAGCTTGAAAAGGAGAGTTGGGTCAGTAGGTTTTTGTATTTGTTATTTAATTTGTGATCTCCAGAATGAGGAAGAGGAGTCTTAACAGAAGGAAAAGACAACCGGCCCTTTTTGATTCCCCTGGTCAGAGTTTTGGCTCAGGTACTTTTTTCAATAAAAGAGATCGCCTCTAAAAACATAAATAACCAGATATTTTAACTATATTTTCACCAAAAGAGACGGTTATGTTGCAACCTGACACGTCTGATCTATTGTACATAAACCGGTGGCGGTAGTTAGCAGAGGATGCATTTACTTTATAGCAGGGTGACGATAGGAGGGCTTTATTTCATTGGAAGACAGTCTGGCTGTTAAAGTTTTACAGTGGGGGTGCATGCCGTTTCAAACCCTACTTTTTCTTATTGGCATCATGTGACACCTTTTTCCATAACGTTAGGCAACTCCTTTCCTATAAAGAAAGCCACTCAGACATACTTGAATTGTTCCATCTTGGGTTTGTTTGTATTTTATTTCGCAGGGTCTGAGTGAGTGCGATGATACTCTGAACTGTAGAGCACACCGCTATCTCCAAAACGACATGGATAACATAAAGACAACTATTTAACCAATGACTTTCGATTTTATTAGCTTCATTGTTAGGGTCTGCCGAGGAAGGGCCTGATTGCAGTCGTGTTTTCGGGGGGTTTAAATCCCTCCTGTAGGATCAGAAGAGATTTGAAAAACGTTACAAAGGTTATTATTTAGTATTTCTTCTTTAGTTTTCTTCTTCCTGCTCCATGTGGTTTGAACTCTTAGCTTGCAGGTTGTTGTGAGTGATCAACACTAATGAGGGTGTTTATTTATATTTGACATTTTGTTCTGCGATGCGCAAGCTCCATGTAAAAGGTGCCTGTTCATTTTCATAATCAATAATAAAAGCAAAGATTCACTTTTATTCAACCGTCGTTTGCACAATGCTTGAATACATAATGCTTCTGTTCTTTTCTCTCCCTGCAGCGTCTTAAAGCATGTATCCATTTCATGCACGACTTTAACACTGAATGGGTTTAATTAGGATGAAAATTAGCAAATAAGTTGTATTGTTTTGGCCAGAAATGGGTCTAAAGGCATCTAACTAGCAGAAAACTGAGACAAATCTACATTTAATCACATAGTCATAATTTAAGCACACTTTGTTCTACAACACATACAAAACCTCATGTTAAGTGTATGCTGCTCACAGCGACCCATGAGGGTTTACACGTTTTAAAAGCATACCTTTATTTTCTGTAAGCTAAACATATAAGCAGATAGTAATTATTAGAGTATATTAATGGTATACCAGAAGCATTACCATCCATACAATTTCTTCTACATGGGACAATCTTTATGCATTTTAGTTTCTTAATTGTGTTGTTGGCCAAGCTTGAAAGACATCAATTTAATCTAAATAGCCCCAAAAGGACATTTAACACGAGCAGAAAACGGCATGTTAAATCACAGAAACGGTCAAATTATCGAATGTATCACTCAATATTTGCACTTTAAAACACATTGTGAGTATGTGATGAATTCCATGTGAGATTATATCTGGCAAAAAACATTTTCTATAAGCTTAACATAAAAAATAGTTTTCGAAAATACTCATTTTAGTTTTGGTACTCGGGATGAATTGATCACCCTGCTCTTTAATAGTTGTTTAGCATGGGCTGATCTTTATGTATGTATTTAACTGTGGTTGGCCAAGCTTGAAAAGAGACGGTTTTTTTAAATTGTAATGAACCGTAATGAACATTTAGTTTTTTAAATGGTAAAAAAATCTCACCACAATAACAAGAGTGGGCGAGTGGCGCCATCTAGTGGTCATTTCACAACATTACGCCTGTCAAATCTGATGAGACATAATTAAATTTCTTACATTTATTTCACTCAAATTCTCCCTTAGCTAATGCCTTTTGTACTTTTATACAGCTAGTAATTATTTATTATTGTTGCTTTTACTTATTTGTTATCTAAAATACACATTCAAAGGCACTGATATATTGTATAGTACCTGAGTAGCCTACTATCACAATGTAGATATAATAATTAGTAAAGACATATACAGTTGTTTATTTAAATATTTAATATATACAGAATAAATATAGTTTTAATAATGCATGTATGCACGGTGTTTCAATAAATACTCTTTATTTTTGATTAACTATACTAATAAAACAAGTATTTATTTATGGATTATTGATTTTAATAATATTATATTTTGTAATTGTTAATACACATTTATTCTATTTGTATATAAGATTATATATTGTAAAATCAAATGATTTAATCACAAAAAATATGTATTTGTATTCTGAAGTTACACAGCTTCAAGCTAACCCGGACTGAACCATTCCCAGCGCCGCGGGGGTGTCCGATTCATTCAGGATTCACGTTAAACCGTAATGAAGGCACGTTAGCGATACACTATGCTTAGCACTAACCACATGGATAAAACACACACCTAACACATGACATATGTTAAATAACCAGCCATTTAGCTTTAAAGTGGCGAATTTGTAATATGTATCCAGACAAATAAGTTGGTCTGCCCCTCTTCCATCCAGTTCTCTTTAGTGTTTGCCAATGTCGGAGGTGTAACTGGGGTCTGGCCCTGGACAAAGGTAAAAAATACACTCAAATGTTTGTCCCTGTGTTGATTTACAGTCTTTGGGTTATTGTCCACGCTTTTGCCAGTCTGTAAATCCCGTTTTTAGGCCTGAAATCCTGCATACTTTGGTGGAGGATGGGGCGGTATGTGGATGCTAGCAGAGGGGTGCTCGGCCGATCAGCCATGATGAGCGTTAACCGGCTAAACTAGCCTTTCCAGGGCGGATTTCTACTCTAAATTCACCGGGAGAAACCCCACTGACATGCCCATGACAGTATGCATGCTTTCCAATTCTGCTGCTTTGTTTTTAGCAGCTGACATGTGCAGGAAATGTCGTTTTCTCGTTGGTAACGTTAGCTTGTTGCTAAGCTGTAGTGTAGGGGCTGCAGACAGGCTGTGTCAGTGAACACACCACCTCCTTATTCAAGTTACTGTGCGGGACCACCGTGCATTGAATTCACTTTGCTTCGCATGCATGCTGCCGTGAAAGAAAAGCAAGGCAGACTGAGAACAGCATTATGCACGCAGATGCAAACAGACAGCATGCAATGAATTAAGGTCACAGAGCAGAGTAAAAATAGCATTTTAGGTTATTTTTTATGGGCATGCAACTGCTCTGTTGTTTACACCGGTCCTAGTATGGTGTTCAGGTGTAAACAATGGACATGCATCACTATTATTCCATACTTTCAGAGTGAAGCTCATGAAAACACCTGAAAACTGTCCTTATGTTTGGTTTAACACCTGTTTGCATTCTAACTATTGCCTAAATTAGCACTCACTTGAGGTATTTCAGGTATTGCCCATCACCTGGAGGGTTAGGGTTCAAAGCGAGCATCTCACAAAGTGTGCACTGCAGGCTGTCTTCTCTCCAGGGGAGCAGCTGACCTGTGAGGACGTGAAAAGAATTCCCCTCATTTCCCTTCAGTGTCTGCAGCCTCTTATTAATGTGAACCAGGAGTGGAGCTTTCCTGGCGAGATGTTGTGATACTTCAAGGTTTCAAGGCTTGTATTGTCATGTGTGCGTAGCTACAGTGTAGTTATGACAATGAAAATATTAGGTCATAGGCTCCTCCAACAGTGCAACACAATAACACAGATAAAATAGTACAAGTAAATACAATAAAACTGAATATGATAGAAACTGTGCAGAATAGTCTATATACAGTAATTAGAATATTGATAAACAGATGAATGAACTTTGTACATTTTGTAATCGATGTATTGCATGTTACATTAATATAAAACATGGTGGCATATTGTGTTTATCTTGCAAAGTGTGTTTAGATTCACCAAAACATTGCGTGCATGCTCAGAAAGATTAGGAAGTAAATGTTGTTGGACCCTCGTCTCAGTGGATGTGATGCCGGCCTTTGTACCTCACTTTGCTCTCAAATCAGAAGTGATTGAACGTCCATTGTCTTGCTCGCAGGATTCTCTTCCTTTCCGGGGAGCTTAGCAGCAGAAAGACGAGCAAAGCTCCTTCAGATAAAGCTTCATTGTGCGCTGTGTTCGCTGCCAGTGGATCAGAATGTGAGATAGGCCGAGGGCCGCACAGTTTGAAGTCCGTTAGCACGCAGAAGTCTGTCAAAGTGAGCCGCTGGATGTTCTGATGCTGCCCAATAATGTTCACACACATGCAGAGAAATGCAGGTGTGATGACATTAGGGCTAACAAGTAATCAAAATGTAATTAAAATCACAATATGGGCTAGTGAAATATTCAAATTGCAGGAGGTGCAATATTTGTTACAGGTAAAATATGTATTTTGGAGCTGCAGAAGAATACTTCAAATCATATTCCTGACTTAATAAAACATCTTTATTCATTATTTTATATTAAAATCATTTAGTAATCGCAATATCAGTCTAAATAATTGCTATTTGTTGTTTTTTCCAAATCCTGCATCCCTATATGACTTTGACTATAAGTGTTACAATAAGCGTCTTTGAGTTTGAGTGCAGAGGGATGGATGATTTTGAAAAGCCATTTATCTTAAGAGCAGGTAATAATAATAATAGATTTAATTTGTTAGCGCTTTTACAGGTGCTCAAAGACGCTTTACAGATATAGTGAAGATAAAATAAAGGAACAACAAATAAATATATAGTTAAAGTCAAATAATACAAAAACAGGTAGAGATTAGATAAGCTCTACCTGCTCTTGAGACACATCGCTTTTCTAAATCATTCATCCCTCTGCACTCAAACTTCTAAATTCATGATTTAACTTTATTATTTACTAACTTATTTATTGTGTGCTTTCTTCCTGTATGTTCCTGCCTGTCTTCAAAGTCAACTTTATTGTCAATCTTTCAGTTTGTGTGAACAGACGGAGAGATGGAAATACAGTTTCCCACACTCCCGAATACAAAATAAAAATATATATAAAAATATGTATAAACAAGACATAAGATGCTCATAACCAAGTTGCCCCTTCCGGGATTAATAAAGTTGTTAATTGATTGATTAGGAAAAGCGCTATCAAATTAAAGATAACATTTAGATGATGTACAGTTAAGTAACTAGCCATTTTGCTGTATGACCCTATACGTGTTATAATGCTGCGTGTGTCTTCCTGCAGGAATAGAGCATGGCTCAAGTGAAAGTTCAGACCTCAGCAGCCCTGGCTGGTCCTGGCCCCGCCCCCGGAGCCCCGGCCGCGGCCAGCCCCGCAGCGCTCGGTCTGCACCCCGCCCTCAACGGCCCCCCCACCTCCGCCTGCCCCGCTCCTGCAGGCGGATATGGGGACGACCCTGTGTCTGCCACATCGCCAGGTAACCAAACGCTTATTATGGGATGTGGGGAGGAGAAGGAAGCTCGAGAGATAATGTTGATATTTATATTTTACGTCAATCGAACACCTCAAAAGAAGCTTCAAATGTAAATCAAAGTGATTCATTGATTTGATTTCTAATGAATAATGAAGTCTTAACATCTCTTCAGCGTCTTCTATTGAAGCGATTATGCATTTTGACCTACATGCTCCACAAAATGAACTCTACTATATGGTGTAGTGTATGTCTATCAGTCCATGATGATAGTCCAGGCATCCCGTTGTGTTTCTGGTGCCGTTCCTCTGAATGAAATGTGTTTTCTTCAGGCCCGCCCCAGGAGAACATGGCAAACCCTAAAGAGAAAACTCCGATGTGTTTGGTGAATGAGTTAGCCCGTTTCAACCGGATCCAACCGCAGTACAAGCTCCTCAACGAGAGAGGCCCCGCACACGCTAAGGTGAGGAAACACAGGACATTCTGGTTTGACTAATATCACTAGATCTGGTATTTCCTTCCATCTTTATATCACGACAATTTAATCTATTTTAAAAGTTGGCATATGATTTAAAAGGTCATGCTCCTACCATGTGTCTCCAGAGGGATTGTGGGTAATGTAGTTCCATTAGTGCTGTGATAGATCTGGTATTTCCTACCATCTTTATCTATATCACAACAATTGTATCTATTTTAAAAGTTGGAATATGAGTTAACAAGTCTAGGGATCATGTTCATGCTCCTACCATGTGTCTCCAGAGGGATTGTGGGTAATGTAGTTTCCTGTGGTTTGACTAATATCAGTAGATCTGGTATTTCCTTCCATCTCTTGTCAAACCAAAGAAATAGCACTTGTTTTATTTGTTTAAATATCAGAACAATTGAATCTATTGTAAAAATTGGAATATAATTCAAAAGGTCTAGGGATTATGTTAAATCCTATTTATTTCATATCTATTGGTTCCCTTGACGTTGTTTGAGACTTTTCACAAATGATTATTGTTCATGTGTCTCCAGAGGGATTGTGGGTAATGTAGTTTCCCGTGTGTCCCCTGCAGATCTTCACGGTGCAGCTGACTCTGGGGGATCAGCTGTGGGAGGCGGAGGGAACGAGCATCAAGAAGTCTCAGCACTCCACAGCTGCTAAAGCTCTGGAGGAGAGCGTCCTGCCAAGGCCCGCACCCCGCTGCCCCAAAGTGGACATCAACAGCAACCCAGGTACTAAAACACAACTACCAGGTGGGAAGTAGTGGAGTACAAATACTTTGTTACTGTACTTAAGTACATGTTTCTGGTATTACATGTTGAACACAAATACCTGTACTTTCTACTTCTTACATGTTGAACTCAAATACCTGTACTTTCTACTTCTCTCATGTTGAACACAAATACCTGTACTTTCTACTTCTTACATGTTGAACTCAAATACCTGTACTTTCTACTTCTTACATGTTGAACTCAAATACTTGTACTTTCTACTTCTTACATGTTGAACTCAAATACCTGTACTTTCTACTTCTTACATGTTGAACTCAAATACCTGTACTTTCTACTTCTTACATGTTGAACTCAAATACCTGTACTTTCTACTTCTTACATGTTGAACTCAAATACCTGTACTTTCTACTTCTTACATTTCCCAAACAGCTGGTTCCTTTAGTCTGAATGTGTGTTTGATGCGTGATCATTATTCTTTAGAGTCATTGCGTGCCTATTGATTTGAACACGATCCGTGTATCCATCATTTCCTGGTCTTCTCTAAAGAAGAGGGACCAATGGAAACGTTGTCATGTTGCCGTTGTTCAGCATGGAAACATTCATTAGCTAACAATGACATTATTGTTCTATTAATATAAAGGGAGGTCAGGTACTCTTTAAAACTGCTGCTAGTTATGGGTACTTTTTACTGAAGTACATTTCAAAGCCTCTTTACTTTGACTTGAGTAAAGAAGTTTAGTCAGTACTTCTACTTTTACCAGAGTATCTTTAAACACGAGTATCTGTACTTCTACTTGAGTAAAGGATGTGAGTACTTCTACCATCTCTGACCTCAACAAATTTAAATCACTAAAAATACACAAGCGAAGGGTTTCTTTTAAAACCACTGTGTGTTTGACCTGGAATTGCTAATATTATACAAAATGGTATTTAAAATGAGTAAGAATTACATTATTTAATAATAATAATAATAATGCATTTTATTTATAGAACGCTTTCCTAGAAACATATAAATAAATTAAAACAATTAAAACAACACACTTATACATCATTTAACCTCATATAACATTTGTTAGTCTTTTAACTGGAACCACAACCGCTAAGTGCTTTTGAGGGTTTCCTGTGTGGAGGAACATGCACACTGTATATGGGCCTATTCTGTGGGGAAAGGGTATAACTCTCACTACCACATGTCAAAAGCTGTTCCCTGAAGTTCATTAGTGCCCTCTACTGTTTGTTTTGTGGAGGTGTAAAAGTGTGTATATGGAGAAGTGGAGGCCTCATACATCTCTTCAGAAAGCAGCTTTGGACGTAACAGGAGTTTGGCCTCTAGGTGAAGCTCTAAAGCCACAGGGTATTTTTAAAATAACTCATTTGTAGGCTGCAGATATTCTCATATAAAAACATGGAGATTTGGAGCTTCAGAGAGTATCGTGTCTTGCAGTTTTAAGATCTGCAGATATTAGACACTTTTCATACATCCTTTGTCAATGGTTGGCTTTGTTTTTTACTTATTCTTTATTAGTTATTTTCTCCCATTCCTCTTTACATCCATTAGTACTCCATTTTAGATGAACAGTTTCTTTAACAAGGGGTCACAACATGTAGAAGGTCTCAAATCCAAGAAATTCAACGTGAGAATATGAAAACACGTATAAAAATCAAATCAATAATAACACTGAGAACGTAAATAACACAGGTATAACAAAAGTTAAAAACAAGATGGGTTATATTTAAGGTCATCCTACATATTACAATAATACAGTCCAATATACAGAATATCTCATTTTAAAGAAGCCATATTATATTATGTTGGGGTGTCACACAGTCAGTTCCTTTTTCTGTGCAGCCTTTATAATCCTTTCATTATTAATCACAATGCTTGGCTTTCAATGGGTCTAGGTCTAGGTCAGTGCTTCTCGAGCGCCCCCTAGTGGTCTGTGAGTATATTGGTAACATTTCACATTTGAAATAAATAAATTAGGGCTGTCAGTCGATTCAAATAGTTAATCACGATTAATCGCACATTTTTGATCTGTTCTAAATGTACCTTAGAGGAATATTTTTCAAGTTTTTAATACTCTTATCAACATATGAGAGGACAAATATGCTTTATGCTAATGTTTATTATCATTTGAACAATGACAAATAATCTCATGAATATTAAACACAACAACCTGGAACCTCTCTCATTCAATAATACAATACAAAGTGTGTGTGTGTGTGTGTGTGTGTGTGTGTGTGTGTGTGTGTGTGTGTGTGTGTGTGTGTGTGTGTGTGTGTGTGTGTGTGTGTGTGTGTGTGTGTGTGTGTGTGTGTGTGTGTGTGTGTGTGTGTGTGTGTGTGTGTGTTGTGTGTGTGTGTGTGTGTGGTGTGTGTGTGTGTGTGTGTGTGTGTGTGTGTGTGTGTGTGTGTGTGTGTGTGTGTGTGTGTGTGTGTGTGTGTGTGTGTGTGTGTGTGTGTGTGTGTGTGTGTGTGTGTGTGTGTGTGTGTGTGTGTGTGTGTGTGTGTGTGTGTGTGTGTGTGTGTGTGTGTGTGTGTGTGTGTGTGTGTGTGTGTGTGTGTGTGTGTGTGTGTGTGTGTGTGTGTGTGTGTGCGCACGTTGGAGCTATGTGCAACTCAAGGCTGAAGGCTCGAACGGGAGCTGCCTGGACGCTGCAATCATGTTGCACTATCCGTGCTGAGTGTGCTGACTTCTCGTACAATGTCCCACTGTCTGGCTTCCTGCATAAAGTCAAGGCGCAGTTGTCGGCGAAATGTCGCTCCTCTGTTTTCATTTAAACAGCTCCTTAGATCCGTTAGCGCAGCTAGCTAGCACCAGTTGCTAACAACAACAAGGCACGTAAGGTCTCTCTCTCTCTCGCTCGGGCCACACATACACACACCCTCCCGGTCCTCCCAACAGCCAGTCGGTGCCTGCCGGTGAGCGTGGAAGTGTGGTCTGCCACAAGCGGGCGGCAGGAGCGGGGCTGTCAGCATCAGCTTGTAGATGGTATTTTAAACTCGATGCGCTCTGAAACTACGGGGCGGCCGAGGACAAAAAATACACATGCGTTAATCGCGTTAAAATAATTAGTGGCGTTAATTTTTTTTTTGCGTTAACGCGTTAACTTGACAGCCCTAATATAAATACATTTACATTTTCCGCACTCTCGCGGGAATATCTCCGCAATGGAGCGAGCTTAAGTTTCACTTTCTATTGCATGATATTCTTTCACACACACATACGGGTTTTGGGCCGAGGGCGACACCGTACTTCCGGTATCCGCCATTTCACGCGAGGTGCAAGCAGAATATCATAGTCTATTGCCTTAATCAATATCTAGTCAACTCTAAAATACCACATATATGCAATGGCATGATAATATTATTGTGACAAGTGGGGTATTCACCTGGTGTTTCCAGAAGATAGACGTAGATGCTGCCAAAATCGACGAAGGCCACTTTCGAGGTTCGTTTTTCCATACATCTGCAGGCAGTCTGTAAGGGCAATCGGAAAACCCACACAGCTCTAGTGTACGCTGGTAACGACCTAGAGCACACCCCTCAAGTCCAGAGATGTAATCCGAAGACATGCAGCGATTTCTTCGGTCGTTAATTCAGAAATAAAACCTAGTGCGCTCTGCCTGGCTACGTTAGCTAGCTGTTTATATTTGCACCTCCAGGATATTAGCACCTCCAGGAAAATGGCGTATTTATATATATATATATATGGCGCGCGTTGCATTGTGGGTAGCTCGTGACGTCACTGTGTGTGAAAGAATAGCCCAGTGCAACACCTTCGTCACACATGTCACCACCTGTTTGTACCATTTTCAGGCGATTTGTAATCTGTTCTAGAAAAACGATGTGTTTTGGGATATTTGTGGAGTTAGGTGGTCCGCGAGTGTTTTTTTATTGGTTAAGTGGTCCTTTGAGAAGTTTGAGAAACACTGGTCTAGGTGAAGCTCTAAAGCCACTGGGTATTTTGGAATAACCCATTTGTAGGCGACACACACTCTCATATTAAAACATGCTTTTAATGTACACATATTCTCAGGGCTCAACATTATAAATGGCCCGCTGGCCCGGAAGCACTATTTAGACACCCCGGCAGCATAACCGGAGGAGTTAAAGGAGAGTGACAGGGAGTATGAGAAGAAGAGGGAGAGAAAGTTTCAGTCAGCTTGATCGATGGAGTTGGCTTCAACATGATGCCAATATAATCAAGGTCCTTTGTCGGCTCTGTACATCAATGCCGACCTATGCTGACAAGTAAGTGAAGAGAATATAAAGGTATATTCGCTATAGGGAAATGTCCCAGCAGTTCTAATCTATTACATCGCCATTACATTTCTAACTCCTGATGACAGGAAGGCAGAAAGCGCATTATACAAATAATAATACTCGTAATAATGATAACCAAATATGAACAATTGAGGAAAATGAGGAAGAACTGATGATGTTGTAGTACAAGTAGTAATGTAGTTTGTGCATAAATTACTATTGCTAATTTTCTTACCGGGCCAGAGGAATGTTACCCTTAATGTCTACCCCTGATTCTCATGCGTGTGTTTGACTGTCTTTAGGCAGTATAACACCCACAGTGGAGCTGAACGGTCTGGCCATGAAGAGAGGGGAGCCGGCCATCTACCGCCCTCTGGACCCTAAACCTATGCCCAACTACAGAGCCAACTACAACTTCAGAGGCATGTTCAACCAAAGGTGAGACACACACTCAACGCTGAGCTGAAGGGACACATATTCTCAGGTCGAAATATAATTAGTAGCTGTGCCAAAGAGAAACCAAATCAAGGGTGTTTGTGTTGAAACTAGACCAGTGTTTCTCAAAATGTGGTGTGCGGACTTCTGGTGGTCCGGGAGCGAGACCCTAGAAGCCCGAGAGTATATTGGTAAAATGTCACATTTGAAATAAATAAATGATAAATTCAAAGGGTTTCTCAAATTGTTTAAAAATGACTAGTATCGGTGGCAGTGGAGGTTTGTTTCGTACTTCAAGCGGTGTGTTTTTTGCATTTCTCTCAGGAGCCAACGATCTGTGAGTCTGTCGGCTCGGACATAAACTCCGTAATAAATGTAGCATTTTAAATCGCATATGAACGAAATGCTTGTAGAATCCGTAGTTGTGTTGTTGATTCAATGTGTGAACGAGGCGATATAGGTCACGTTAAGCTGTCATTTGTTATGAACTGTTGGAGTGGGAAGCAGACCTTTTTGTTTTGGGATATTTGGGAAGTTAGGTGTGTTTTTGTATTGGTTAAGTGGTCCTTGGTATGAGAAACACTGATCTCGACCCACTTTTGTTTCGGTGTTTGGATTCTTGTGCTACTTCCAAACTAATGCTGCAAATCCTATTTACTTACGTTTGAACTACTGCAACATTTGTAGATAATTCGCCTCATTATTCACCTGAAACTCTGCAGGTCACACATGTCTTATCTCCTCTTGATCCACAGCTATGTTTTAGAAGTGGGATTATATGAGGTACTTCTCCCCATCACAGTATTACCTACATCAGTTTTTAGAAACGCAGCAGCACGAAGCTAAGCTATGTGCTGCTACGGATGAATTGAGTACATGTGGAGCTCATGTTCCTGCAGGATTCTTGCTCTTTTGAGTGTGCTTCTTCATGGCTGAATGCACCTTTTGTAAATCACTTTGGGTAGAAGTGTCAGTTAAATCCAGTGAAGTATTTCAGACAGCTTAAAGGTCCCATGTCATGGCCATTTCCACTGATCATAATTCTATTGTTGAGGTCTACTAGAATAGATTTATATTGTGCAATTTTCCAAACTCACATTGGTTTCTCAGCATCTCTGTAAACTACGTGTATTCACTGAATTTCCCTCTCTGCCTTTAACGGCTCGTTGTAGCTCCAATAGCTCCAGCCCCCACCCTCCCTGTGAGCACAGTGTGCTCTGATTGGTCGGGACGTTGTGAATCGCGCTGAGCTCCGTGGAGGTGTTGTTTCCTTGTTTAGCGATACACAGCGAAACACAGCCAAACTCACTCTGAGCACACACAAAGTCACAGCCGAAGTAAAAACAATAAGTGTGGCTTGATATTGAGAAAGAAAAAGGTTGATAAACGCTGTGAGAATGGGTCTGTAGAGAGAACGGGTCTGCAGAGAGAACGGGTCTGTAGAGAGAATGGGTCTGCAGAGAGAATGGGTCTGCAGAGAGAACGGGTCTGCAGAGAGAATGGGTCTGTAGAGAGAATGGGTCTGCAGTGAGAATGGGTCTGCAGAGAGAACGGGTCTGCAGAGAGAACGGGTCTGCAGAGAGAACGGGTCTGCAGAGAGAACGGGTCTGCAGAGAGAATGGGTCTGTAGAGAGAATGGGTCAGCAGAGAGAATGGGTCTGTAGAGAGAATGGGTCAGCAGAGAGAATGGGTCTGTAGAGAGAACGGGTCTGCAGAGAGAACGGGTCTGCAGAGAGAACGGGTCTGCAGAGAGAACGGGTCTGCAGAGAGAACGGGTCTGTAGAGAGAATGGGTCAGCAGAGAGAATGGGTCTGTAGAGAGAATGGGTCAGCAGAGAGAATGGGTCTGTAGAGAGAATGGGTCAGCAGAGAGAATGGGTCTGTAGAGAGAACGGGTCTGCAGAGAGAACGGGTCTGCAGAGAGAACGGGTCTGCAGAGAGAACGGGTCTGCAGAGAGAACGGGTCTGTAGAGAGAATGGGTCAGCAGAGAGAACGGGTCTGTAGAGAGAATGGGTCAGCAGAGAGAATGGGTCTGCAGAGAGAATGGGTCTGTAGAAAGAATGGGTCTGCAGAGAGAACGGGTCTGCAGAGAGAACGGGTCTGTAGAGAGAATGGGTCTGCAGAGAGAACGGGTCTGTAGAGAGAATGGGTCTGCAGAGAGAATGGGTCTGCAGAGAGAACGGGTCTGCAGAGAGAACGGGTCTGCAGAGAGAACGGGTCTGCAGAGAGAACGGGTCTGCAGAGAGAACGGGTCTGCAGAGAGAACGGGTCTGCAGAGAGAACGGGTCTGCAGAGAGAACGGGTCTGCAGAGAGAACGGGTCTGCAGAGAGAACGGGTCTGCAGTGAGAACGGGTCTGCAGAGAGAACGGGTCTGCAGAGAGAACGGGTCTGCAGAGAGAACGGGTCTGCAGAGAGAACGGGTCTGCAGAGAGAACGGGTCTGCAGAGAGAACGGGTCTGCAGAGAGAACGGGTCTGTAGAGAGAACGGGTCTGCAGAGAGAACGGGTCTGCAGAGAGAACGGGTCTGCAGTAGAGAACGGGTCTGCAGAGAGAACGGGTCTGCAGAGAGAACGGGTCTGCAGAGAGAACGGGTCTGCAGAGAGAACGGGTCTGCAGAGAGAACGGGTCTGCAGAGAGAACGGGTCTGCAGAGAGAACGGGTCTGCAGAGAGAACGGGTCTGTAGAGAGAACGGGTCTGCAGAGAGAACGGGTCTGCAGAGAGAATGGGTCTGCAGAGAGAAGGGGTCTGCAGAGAGAATGGGTCTGTAGAGAGAATGGGTCTGCAGAGAGAATGGGTCTGCAGAGAGAATGGGTCTGCAGAGAGAATGGGTCTGCAGAGAGAACGGGTCTGCAGAGAGAACGGGTCTGTAGAGAGAATGGGTCTGCAGAGAGAATGGGTCTGCAGAGAGAATGGGTCTGCAGAGAGAATGGGTCTGCAGAGAGAATGGGTCTGTAGAGAGAATGGGTCTGCAGAGAGAATGGGTCTGTAGAGAGAACGGGTCTGCAGAGAGAACGGGTCTGTAGAGAGAATGGGTCTGTAGAGAGAATGGGGTCTGCAGAGAGAATGGGTCTGCAGAGAGAACGGGTCTGTAGAGAGAACGGGTCTGTAGAGAGAATGGGTCTGCAGAGAGAATGGGTCTGCAGAGAGAACGGGTCTGTAGAGAGAATGTGTCTGCAGAGAGAATGTGTCTGCAGAGAGAATGGGTCTGCAGAGAGAATGGGTCTGTAGAGAGAATGGGTCTGCAGAGAGAATGGGTCTGTAGAGAGAACGGGTCTGTAGAGAGAATGTGTCTGCAGAGAGAATGGGTCTGCAGAGAGAATGGGTCTGTAGAGAGAACGGGTCTGTAGAGAGAATGTGTCTGCAGAGAGAATGGGTCTGCAGAGAGAATGGGTCTGCAGAGAGAATGGGTCTGCAGAGAGAATGGGTCTGTAGAGAGAATGGGTCTGCAGAGAGAACGGGTCTGTAGAGAGAATGTGTCTGCAGAGAGAATGGGTCTGCAGAGAGAATGGGTCTGTAGAGAGAATGGGTCTGCAGAGAGAATGGGTCTGTAGAGAGAACGGGTCTGTAGAGAGAATGGGTCTGCAGAGAGAATGGGTCTGCAGAGAGAATGGGTCTGTAGAGAGAACGGGTCTGTAGAGAGAACGGGTCTGCAGAGAGAATGGGTCTGCAGAGAGAACGGGTCTGCAGAGAGAATGGGTCTGCAGAGAGAATGGGTCTGCAGAGAGAACGGGTCTGCAGAGAGAATTTCGCCGCGATCCCAACTGTCTGTTATCAGCCTGCAGCCAGGGAGGAGAGATCAGCAGAGCTGCCTGCACTGAGTGTGTGAGGAAGTCGTGGATTGGTCAATTTGGACCAATCAGCGGGGGCTTAACGTAACGGCTCCGCGGACGTAACGTAACGGCTCCACGGATTGGTCCATTTCGTCATCATACGTACCCGGAAGAATCAATGGACAGTGATGTATCTCCAACGAGGCGTTTTGGGGAGGTATTTTCTGTGTTAGAGTTTTACTCGCTACAGGGTGCACTTTGAGGGTTTTTACTCTGCACACCGTTTACATGCATACAAACCTTCATAACATACAAGGGGACGGGTACTAACCAGAAAAGCATGACATGGGACCTTTAAATATCTTCATTAGTGGTACGCTAGGAACATTTGGACAGTTTTACCTCTTAGCCTTTCATAGCTGCCAGACTCCATTGACAAAAACTCCTTTTATCCTGGAGTTGCAAGTCCACCGGAGCTTCAGTGTGTGTTGGATTTAGCAACTAAACAATCACTTTTAAATCTAGCCAACATTGCATGTTAGCTTGTCCCATTCAGTGCCGCGGCAAAAGTCATCATGAACACAACAACACTTGTGCTGTGTGATCATCTATACTGGAGTTAAGTGCTCAAACTCTAATTCCAACATTAGAGGGGACACATTGATTTATCTTGTTCAAATTACTTCCAGACAACCCATTTTTAACGAGAGAAATCTCCTCGTTTAGCGTCAGCTTTGTTGCAGCTGAGCGACCTCATATATTAAATAAAATCCATGTTATAAGAGATTTAATTTAGCCTGGTTTGCAGACGATGGGTGGCTCAGCGCTCTGAGATTTATGTCCTTCAGTGTGCTGATATATTCTCTCTTTGACCCCGGGGGCTCAGATGTGAGGCAGACATCCATATGTTCTCTGAACGGATGAAGGTGGTGCCCTCATGGGGTCTCTCTCCACACTCAGTCTCTGTCGACTCTCTTTCTTCCATCGTTTTCTTTTGCTTTACTGCAGCCATCCAGCCATTTCCAAAACTCCATAAAAACGCCACCAGGGGCAATTAATGATCCCCCCTCCCTCAGTGAAGGAATGTCCTTTAGGACGCATGAAATCCAGGTGATTCTGTCAGTTAAAGGGGGATTTTTGTATTTAAACGGGACCTTATTTTCCCATGTTTTTGTCTCTTAAGGCTAAGTAGGTTTAAAAATGTTTTGAAAGTAGTCCAATAATTGGCAGC